ATGACAGGTAATACAGGTAAGTAATTCAGTCGCCCATATTCAAAGCGTGCAGCCTATAAGTAGACATTTTAGAGAAACAAAATTGAACAACAACTCACCCGATCTGTACTGAGGAAAACAACAGACTTTTCCATTTCACAGCTCAGAGCAGACTGCATCCATTCTGGCTTGGTCTGTAAAAGACATAAAAACTTCAATGTATCACCAGGGACAACACTTAGACCAGTGTGCTGGAGCTAATATTAAGTGATCTGAAGGGGCATTCCTAGGACATAGACCTACCAGGCCATCATAAGTCACATTTCATAGAACCCCTCGGACAAATCGAGGAAATGAGGTCGACAAAAAAAATTTTTTTCCTGCCATTTCAAGCCTTGATTTGTCACGATTTTGATATGCTGAAGCAGAAGTAAGAGAGTGTCTCTTAAAATGTATCAACATAAGAGGGTGAGCAGGCCCACATGAAAAGATCCATTGAAGACAAAATAGACAGTGGTCATTTGAGAAGTTGTTGTTATAGATGCAAATTTGAGAAGTTGAAAAGTATATTGTAATGTTATTTGACATCAAAATGTATCAACCATCTTTTTGTCAAAGGGTTTCAATGTCAAATATTCAGACCACAAAATAATATTTTTCTGCTATGTCAGAACAGAAACAATCTTGAAAAATTATAAAGTAAAAAAATCGAAGCAAATCTCCCCTCCCCCAAAACAAACAAACAAACAGAGAGAGAACAATATACTTTGAAAACACGAAAGGTCAAATCTTTTCGTTCAGCTTGATGGCACATTTTTCTGCTCACTTAATTCGATCTAAAAGCAGGGATTTTTTTTAAAAATACCCCTAGCCCAAAAAAGCACTTACTTTGAGGCTGTCCACAAGAGGAATGTAAAGTCTTTGCTCTGCAACCTCATCATTTCCACACTGGAGCTTTCCATTGTATACCAGATCGTTGCTCAGCTCCATGATTTTTCTATCAGTATTTAAGACGGATAAAAGAAGACATTAACAGTGGTTACCACCTAAGAACCCGGTCATCAAGATACAGACAAGGCATGGTGAAGCAGCTTGGTAACGTTTATTGCCCTAAGCTCAAACTGGGCGGGAAGGGGGTGTGAGTTATTGTGTGTGTGTTTGTGCGTGTGCGTGTGTGTGTGTTTGTGCGTGTGTGTGTGTGTGTGTGTGTGAGGGGTTCAGATTTCTAATTTTAGACAGGTTCTTAGACAGGTAAATTATAGACAAAAATTCTGTTACATGTCAAGAGTGGGTTGTTAAGTTGAGACCACTGTACTTTATTGACCATTGTGTTTTCACCAGCCTCTTTGACACAAGTTATAAATGCAAGACATCATATCAACGAATAACCTTCTCCCACCCTCCCTCTCTCCTTACAGATAATATAGTAACTCTACGGACTAACAAAAGGCACATACACATTACGAAATTATAACGAAACAAAAAGTGTGAAATGTGTGGAAAACTTGGAGGATGAAATCCTTCCAACACATAATTTGCTTTCAAATATTTTCACAACAACTCTATGTAAAGCCTTCATATTTCATTCTTTCAGTTTATTACTTTCTGATCCAGGCGCAGCACACCCACACTAAAATGTTACTAGCTGTCGTCCAGTCCAAATACGTGTAACAACTAATCTAAGAGACAAGACATAAGAATTAAAGACACAAAAGATATTTTGCTCAAAGGAAGATAGTAGCCTACCTGTTCATTCTGTACTGTAAGTGCAACTCAAAAGTGGCCCCTTGACTATCTAGTTTTGCGAACAAACTTTCACCCATTCCTAGAGAGCTGGAAAAGAAATAATTTAGTTTTTCATTATATCCAAATCAGGTTCACAGAAAACTTCTAAACAATTTCAAAAGTGGACGAACAAAAACACCCTGAAGACCTTTCAGAGGTCAGATTGTACGTCAATGAAAAGGAGAAAATCTATCTGAGTCTATAGTTTTGAGTTGGGTACACAATGAGTGTGAAAAATATGTCAGTGTGTGTGTGTGTGTGTGTTTTTGGGAGTTTGGGAGTGTGCGGGTGTGTGTGTGTGTGTGAGAGTGTGTGTGTGTGTGTGTGTCAATGCGCGCGCATCTGAGGGTGTGTGTGATACTGAGCAGTCCAGTCCATGGTCATATATGACAATATAACAGCTGTGTGTGGAGGAATGGGAGCTGTCCATGGGTGTCAAGGAGATGTCAGTGGGTGTGTGGGAACTGTACAATC